GCCCCGTCGGCCCCCCTCTCGGCACCGCGCGTCCCTCGTCGCTCACCACCGCAGCCCCCCGCTTGCAGGTTCAGAGTGGAGAATGGGGGTCGTCGACGCACGCACACCCCCATGGCTGCGATGGCGGCCGACCCGCTGCTCGCCGCCCCGGCTCCCCCTGCCGGCGCTGGCTCCGTTCAGCATCTGAAGCCCCCGGCAACGAGCCCCTCGGGCCTCCCATCGCTACTCTCCCCGCTGCATCTGCCGCCTCCGACGGACAAGATCCCCTTGCCTGGCGTTGAGGTCGAGGATGGGGAGTTCGCCGCGCCGTCGCCGCCGGCGGGCCTTGTCTCCGGAGATGCGTTGCTTCAGCCCGTTGTCGTGGTGGATGATGAACCGACCCTGCAGTCGCCTCCACCCGTCTCCAGCCGCAGCGGAGATGTTGTCGAGGAACAGACGCAGCAACCGCCTCCTCCCGTCGCACAAGAGCCCAAAGTTGGTGCGGCTCCCCAGCTTTCAGATCTGTCAGTTGTGGCGCTGGCAATGTCTGCTCCACAGAGCATGCGGCGCAGTCGCCCACGGCTGTTGTGGAGGGCTCCTGCCATGGTGTTGCTCGCGTCTCGTCGAGCTGTCCCGCGCTACTTCCAGGTAGGCGTAGGGTGCTCCAGTGGCAACGTCGGCGGCAGCGCGGAAGAAGAAGAGTTGTGGGCAAGCATCGACGGGAAGCGCGCGGTGCAGGCGCGGCGGCCGCGCTGACCTTCAGGGGAAACCAGACCGTGTTCGTGGACGAAACGCCGGTGGACGTCATGTGGGACCTGCACGGCTGGTGGTTCCGGGAGCCTCCGTACAGCAGCGCCGTGGTCATGCTCCGGGCGCGCAGCGTGCTGGAGAGCCGACTGTGGCTAGAGGAGGAGGAGGTCGCCACCGCCGAGCCGGGGTTCTCGCTCGTCCTCCAGGCCTTCAAGTCCCGCGCTGATGGACTATCATGTGCCCCTGCCCATTGATCATACATGTAGCTACTCTATTCAAATGAGAAGACGGCGAACTTCGTGGAATTATGCAAACTGCCTGTTTCACTGAAGTCGAAGGGATCAGTAAGTTTACAAGCAACATGATCACGGACATAACAGGTGATATACATTGATGTGAGTGTGTAGTGTAGGCAAATTTCATCTCCCTTGCTAGTTGATTTTACTCTTCTCCGAATCATAACTTGTGATGTGTGCAAGTACAGAACAAAAAAAAAGTGCAATAGTTTGGATCCTTCTGTGTTGAATGGTGAAATCATACTTTAGATCCTTCTGTGTTGAAAGATGAAATCTTACTTTGGATCCTTCTGTGTTGAATGATGAGGTGGTGTAGATATGGGGGGCAATAGTTTCTGCTTGTTGCCACTTACCTTCACTACTGACTGTTCTTATGTAAATACACCAATAACAGTGGTACAGTTACAAGTGATTGTTGCAGCATAAATAATCTATCAACAGGTAATAGTAGATGTAATTCTACTAACGCTGAGGGGTATTATCAGCCTACTGTTTGATGGCCATTGACATTCACATGCTATCCTGGTGAGACCAGTCATGAAATTTTAGTTGCCAAAAGAAAAGAAAAAAAATGGATACGTGATGCTTCACTAGACATACACTGTCTTCCCAGTCCCAAGTATATGCAAACAGTTGATGTTCGGGAAGAAACTATGCATGCCTGTCTGAGTACTCGAGTGTGATAAACAGTCAACTGCTTGAGTGTGATCAACAAATAATGTAGTGCTTTAAGAAAAAACCTGAATGAATTCTCATATTTACATCAACTCTCTGTAAAACTAACATATAACAGCCATGCTTGCACACATGAAAATATTTCTGATTCTAGAGGTCTGCTAAGACTGCAGGAGAAAACGTCAGCACAAAAAGAGGTAGATTCAACATCAAAATAGTAGTGAGTAGTTGATTTCAAATACCTGGTAAAATAAGTCAGTGTCACATTTTCTCCATTTGGCTCGTGTTTTTTTTCCATATACGAATGGTAATTCAGTGTAGTAGCATTTTCTAGCGCATGATTCTCTGTTCTGTCATTGTCATAGTTATCTCCAAAAGGATCAAAATCATCAGTATCTCCAAAATGGGAGCTGCTGTGAAAAGACATCAACAAATAACAGGACAGGGGAAAGTCAGCGAGATCATGATTAAAGCAGCATACCAACTCATCAAATTTAAGCATACAAATTTAGATGCTGAAACAAACAACTGCAGCAGCAACACCAAGTTCAGATAACCTATCTGAAAAAGTGAAGTGTCTACATGATAAAATAGAAAGCTTGCAAATCAAACTGTAGCATTGTTGTCAATGGCTGGTTAATTACATACAACAACAGGGTGTTTCTTGTAAAAGTGCGTGCGCTGACCGGTCCAGCCACCTGGCTGCCAATTGTCGAGCTGTGATTGGCCTGGGACTAAATCATCACATGAGGTGCAAGTTGGGGTATGGTGGAGTCAAGTTTTGCAAGTTTGGGACTAAATCATCACATTCTGTGCAAGTTAGGGTACCTGGGGTGCTATTACCTCACTATTTTTCCTTCGTTGCTCTTGGTTAGTTGGTTGACTTGGCTGTCGAATTTGCATCTTCCTATCGCTAAGGTGTCTCTAGTGCGTTATTTTTACATTTTACCATGTAGATTCAGCGCTGATTTCCAACTCTCGGCCCCAAATTGCTCTTCTAGTCAATGGAATCGGAGTTCTAAAGCAAGTGTGTTTCTTCATCTCCTGCCGTTCACTATTTCCTACTAATGAGCAATCTTATTTTGATTAATACTCCTGCCGTTCACTATTATGAGATGCTCTATCTTTTTTTTCTGGATCAATTTTTTAGTGTGTTTCTTCATTTATTTCAGTATATGTAGTCCATACCGTTTATTATAATTCGAAACGGAGGGAGTAATAAAAGTCAAAACTCTCAATTATTCGGTGGTTATTGCATGGATAGCCTTTTTTATAAAGCGTGCTTTTTATTTGCTCTTGATATCGCATCAAGAGTGTACAACCACCGTAAGTACACATCAGGTCTCTGTGTGATTAGGATCCACATGGCTAGCATTTTGATGAACAGGGGAAGGGCCCCAGAAGGACCTAGACACTGCATTAAACTTTGTTTTGGTGGTACAAGGCAGTTTACTCTAGTGCTCACATAAAAAAGAAAATAACAAACTAGTCCACGAAACTTGCAAAGGGGGCCCCAAACAAGAAAAATGGAAACAAAATCGAGTTCAACACAGCTCCTATACATAGATCCAATCTCGATGATGCCGGGGACGAAACCACTTGGATCATCAAGATCGCCGCCTCTCCATCTCAAGCAGCCTAGCTCACCTGAAGAAGAAGAAACAATGATCTTTGAACAATGGTTGACCTGTCTCCCAATACGCAACAAGGTTGGGAGGTAAAACAACGGTCGTCCTTCGGCCATAAAAGTCGATGGAGTGGCGATGAAGAATGGTTGCCGACCACTATTGTGGGCACCTTGACTCCTCTGCGATGAACACCATCCACAATGAGCTCCGACTCTGTCCGCACATTCCATTGTCCTTCTCTTATTCTCCTTACCCACCACCATGGTGGCAACCGAAAAGGAAGGGGTCCTCCATCAGCAAGCTCTGGCCGACAATCCCCAATTTGCATCTCTCATCTTCCCTTCTACTTCCGTGCTTTCATCGCCGACCACTATGGTTGCCGGCGGCGGGGAAGGGGGGAGGGAGGCTGGAGCAGAGGATTGAAGGGGAGGTCGGGAAGGGAAACACCATAGGGCCAGTCTCTCACTAGAGTAGTGGGTACAACCATTTGAATATGGTATAGCGCACCACTTAGTTACATAATTTGGATATAAACTATGGAAATTTCTCTCACATATATTGAATAGTGAGAGTACAAGCACAAGCTCATATGCTTCCTCTATGAATAGTAAAATCAAATAAAAAACTAAATTCTTTTACACCCGAAGATGTTTGATTGTGCTAGGTGCATCTAAAATGGACAGTGACAACTGGGGAGCTCTAGACAAAATGGCAATCCAAAAGACTTTTAAAAAATATATTTTGGAGCCTTTTTTTTGTCCAAAGCTCCTCTTATGTTATTTGTCAGCGAAATTTTACAAATTCTGAGAACACTCATCTATGCCACCATAAGGTTTTGGGTTTATAGTAATAATAATAA